TTTCTTTCCTTCTTTCTTTCTCTCTCCCTCTTTGTTCCCTCCCTCCCTTCTTTTTCTCTTTCTTTCTTCTTTCTTTTTCTCCCCCCCTCCCTTCTTTCCTTTTTTCTCTTTCTTTCTTTCTCTCTCCCTCTCCTTTCTTTTTCTTTCCCTCCCTCCCTTCTTTTTTTTCCCTTTCTTTCTTTTTCTTCCTTTCTCTTTTTTCTTTCTTTCTGTCCCTCTCTCCCTCTTTCTATCTCCCTTTTTTCCTTTCCTTTCCTTTCTTTTTTTTTCTTCTTCTCTGGACCAAACCCCCCAAAACCAGCCTCAAAAATTATCAGACAAGTCACTCAAACGAGGCTTCCGATTGGAGGGAATAAAAACATACCGCGCGCCTGAACAAGTTCCCATTGGCTGAAACAACCACGGTTTTATTGGACGACCAACGCTCCCACGCGACCGCCACCCAATCAAAAAGGACCTCTGGAAACCCGAGGAGTAAATAAATAGGCGGGTTGGCGCTCTTGCTTGCCAGCATTTTGTTGAGTGCTTAAGAGTTGAACGATCATGTCTGGACGCGGCAAGCAAGGTGGCAAGACTCGGGCGAAGGCTAAGACTCGCTCTTCTCGCGCCGGATTGCAGTTCCCGGTGGGCCGCGTGCATCGGTTGCTTCGGAAGGGGAACTATGCGGAGCGGGTGGGCGCCGGCGCTCCGGTCTACCTGGCCGCCGTGCTGGAGTACCTGACGGCCGAGATCCTGGAGCTGGCGGGCAACGCGGCGCGGGACAACAAGAAGACGCGCATCATCCCGCGTCATTTGCAGCTGGCCGTCCGCAACGACGAGGAGCTGAACAAGCTGTTGGGCCGGGTCACTATCGCCCAGGGCGGCGTCCTGCCCAACATCCAGGCCGTCTTGCTGCCCAAGAAGACCGAGAGTCACAAAGTCAAGGCGAAATAATTTCCCGTCTCGGCTACAGATAATACGTTGGAAAGGCTCTTTTAAGAGCCACCCACAGCCTCACAAAAGAAGCTGATCTTTTTCTCTCAAGTCTTCTATTATTAGCTCGTTAGAGAAATATGGGGTGAAGCAATTGGGGGTGGTGATGTGAGATGATATTCCATGGGATGTGAAAATGTTGGGTTTAGAAGTTTCAAAATTATGCATATTCTGTAAATATCACAAGCATCTACGGGTGTGGGGTATGGAAAAGATTGGGGAAACTCGTGCATCCATCAAAGGTTGGGAAGTCGGAGGGGCTGCCTGTAAATTCAAAAGACACCCAAAATTTGGTATGGGGGCTAATAAATTGGTTCCCGGATCAGACAAATTTGCAAGAGGCTTTCACGCCTAAAATGATTAAGGATTTGGGGCAGAGGGTTGGACTAGAAGACCTCCAAAGGTTCCTTCTAGCCTTAGGCATTCTATAACTACATGTGAGTCTCAAATAATAGAAAATATTTGATTGTAGGTAACGTTCCATAAATGTATTGAGTTATACAGTATTAACTCTTTGCTGGCTGGGTTTGTGTTAAAACCTGTGTGTTCCAAGGATTTTCAGAATACACATAATAAATTCACACGTATTAAAGGTGTTATGTCATCCTATGGCTATCAAGGGACTCTTTGCCCACCAAGGTGACGGGCATCTTGGTTTAAATTTAGATTTTTAACTGAAAATTTAATGTATTTTTAAGGTTTGTGTTAAAACCTGTGTGTTCCAAGGATTTTCAGTTAGTTAGTTTGTTAGTTCCAAGGATTTTCAGTTAGTTTGTTTTTTTATCGTAAGCCACTAAATAAAAAATTTAAAAAGCTGTTACCATGAAAAGGCTCTCAACGCTGTCAGGTTAAAAATGCTACTATTATATAACTACATGTGAGTCTCAAATAATAGAAAATATTTGATTGTAGGTAACATTCCATAAATGTATTGAGTTATACAGTATTAACTCTTTGCTGGCTGGGTTTGTGTTAAAACCTGTGTGTTCCAAGGATTTTCAGTTAGTTAGTTAGTTCCAAGGATTTTCAGTTAGTTTGTTTTTTTTATCATAAGCCACTAAATAAACAATTTAAAAAGCTGTTACCATGAAAAGGCTCTCAACGCTGTCAGGTTAAAAATGCTAGTATTATAGCACTCAAATCCTAACTGTCAATGAATACTTCAGCTTCAACCATAACAACACAAGAGCACACAATAGATACAAACTCAAGGTTAACCGCACCAAACTTGATTGCATGAAATACGACTTCAGCAATAGAGTGGTCAATGTCTGGAATACTCTACCCGACTCTGTAGTTTCTTCCCCAAAGCCCAAAAACTTTAACCTTAGACTGTCTACTATTGACCTCACCCCTTTCCTAAGAGGTCTGTAGGGGGCATGCATAAGCGCACCAACGTGCCTACCGTCCCTGTCCTATTGTTTCTCTTATTCTTTTATTTTTCTTATATATACCCATTTCATGTATTCACAACTATGTATACACTTATACTTATTATCTTGTAAACAATTGGCAAATCAAATAAATAAATAAAATAAATAAATAAATAATATAAAAATGCTATAGTTATAGCAAGGGTGTTTTTTCAAAATACATCTGGATTGTTTTTCTTCTAGATTGAAGAATCACCATTTAGCTATAAAATGTTAAAGCCTACAAATTCCAGACAAGTCTCTAGAAAAAAGATCCAAGGAGAGAATATAAACCTTACTTACATAGCCATTACTCGACCACGTAGCTTTTTACCAAATATTGAGTTATTCCCATGAGGTAAAAATTATCTAGTAAGTTTTTATATACTACAACTCTTTTTCAGGAGTTGTGAGTGGCCCTGAAAAGGACCGTTTAGGTAACCAAACATGGTTACTAATATGAAATTGGCCAGCCCTTATTGCTTATCACCAGGCAGCATTGCTTCGGCATAGACTATATAAGCCTTTGCACATGATCTTTGGTGACAGTGTGGTGCCAGGCTGCAATAATGGACTCAATCAGCTCCTGCTTGGTCTTCGGATGCTTCTTGCTTATTTTGTAAACAATCTTGGCCCACAAGTTCTCAATGGGGTTCAAATCTGGTCTCTGAGCTGGCCAATCCAGGAGTCGAACACCATGCTTCTTCATCCTCTGCTGGACAGACTTGGCTAGATGACAAGGAGCCTTGTCTTCCTGGAAGTAAAAGTCATTCCCTACTTATGTATTTATTTGTCAATTGTTTACAAGATAATAAGTATAAGTGTATACATAGTTATGAATACATGAAATGGGTACATATAAGAAAAATATAAGAAAAATAAAAGAAACAATAGGACAGAGACGGTAGGCACATTGGTGCGCTTATGCACGCCCCCTACAGACCTCTTAGGAAAGGGGTGAGGTCAATAGTAGACAGTCTAAGGTTAAAGTTTTTGGGGTTTGGGGAAGAAACCAGAGTCAGGTGGAGTATTCCAGACTTTCCAAGTTGCTGAGCTGAAGGAAGCATGGTCTTTTCCAGGATTTCAACATACTGCTTGGAATTCATGATTCCCTGCGCAATTTGTATCTGACCAATACCAGAAGCAGCCCCAGATCTTCACATGCAATGGATGCTTCAGATAAGATTCAGACAGCATGGCCTAAATTCTTCAGCTGGAAATCTTCTGACCTACTTATTGCACTGATTCCCAGTCAAGTAGAAATTGATCTTGTCACTGAAGATGATCTTGGCCCGCTGTTCATTGGTCCACTTGGTATACTTATTGGCCCACGCATGTCGACAAGAGCGGTGAGCGTCTGTGAGCAAAGGTTTATTTTAAGCCCTGCAGCCTTTGAGGCCTCTGGCAAGCAGTCTGCTATGCACTGTGCTTGTGCACACTTTTACATCACGTTTCACCCCAAATTCTTGTAATCTGAGTTGAGGTGAGCTTCCTGTCAGCCATTGTAATGCATTGCAGAGCCCAATCTTGCCATTTTGTCAACTTTCTTGGTCTTCCAGAGCAGAGCCTGTCATCAACTGAACCAGTTATTTGGTATTTTTCAACCACTCTGCTCACTGTGGTGCGATGGCATTTCACTCTCTTGGCTATTTCTGTACAGGAGTAACCCTCTTCATGAAGCACAATGATGTGATGCTGCTGCTCAGCACTGGTAAAAGCAAAGGCCTTCATTCTTGCCTGCAGCCAGAGCTAAATTTCTGGATGCTTTTCATGCCTAGTCAGAGTATGACAACATTGATTGGCTCATAGATTTAGCCTCTGTGCATTTTCATTGGTCAGTCAAAGTTTGCTGCTGATTGGCTACTTTTGATCCTAACATTGTCGAAAATGCAAGTTGTGCTTGTTTTAGCACATAAACTCACTCAAAACATTAAAAAGACTGGTTATATTAATAAAAATTATGCATCTCAATCCAACTACAGAAATTTTCCTCAAGGTACTTATTTTGCATGGTTTCTACGAGTGAAAATTGATTAAACATGTAAATACAGCTTAAAACTGAAAACGTGCAGGACTTTTTCACACAGCTGTAGGTAACATTCCATAAATGTATTGAGTTATACAGTATTAACTCTTTGCTGGCACGGTTTGTGTTAAAACCTGTGTGTTCCAAGGATTTTCACAATACACATAATAAATTCACGCGTATTAAAGGTGTTATGTCATCCTATGGCTATCAAGGGACTCTGCCCACCAAGGTGACGGGCATTTTGGTTTAAATTTAGATTTTTAACTGAAAATTTAATGTATTTTTAAGGCTTTAGTTTATCGTAAGCCACTAAATAAAAAATCTAAATAAAAAGCTGTTACCATGAAAAGGCTCTCAAGGCTGTCAGGTTAAAAATGCTAGTATAGCACTCAATATATAAAAATGCTAGTTATAGCAAGGGCGCTTTTTCAAAATACATCTGGACTGTTTTTCTCCTAGAAAAACATTTAGTTATAAAATGTCAACAAAGCCTACAAATTCCAGACAAAACTGTAGAAAAAAAGATCCGAGGGAAGAGTATAAACTTTACTTACATAAGCATCGTATTCCCATGAGACAAAAATTACCTAATAAAGGTTTTTATATGCTACAACTCTTTTTCAGGAATTGTGGGTGGCCCTTAAAAGGGCCGTTGTTCTTTTTGTCTAGAAATTAGCCTCCAAAGCCGTACAAAGTGCGACCTTGGCGCTTCAGCGCGTACACCACGTCCATGGCTGTCACTGTCTTCCTCTTAGCATGCTCGGTGTAAGTCACAGCATCGCGGATCACGTTTTCCAGGAAAACCTTCAACACTCCACGCGTCTCTTCGTAGATCAAGCCAGAAATTCGCTTCACGCCACCGCGGCGAGCCAAACGGCGGATAGCTGGCTTCGTGATGCCTTGGATGTTATCCCGGAGCACCTTCCGATGTCTTTTCGCTCCCCCTTTTCCCAAGCCTTTTCCGCCTTTCCCGCGACCAGACATCCTCAACAACAAACAGCAAAAATTAACCTCGAGGGTCTGCTTAAGGATGGCTTATAAAGAAGAAGGGCCGACCAGAAAGAAAACTTAGCTACTAAGCACTTTCGTTCGCCTCTCAGGTTATGTCACCATTGTCCAATCAAATGCAACTTGTTTGAAATAGCTCAATCAAAGCCGAATCTAACAGAAGTTTAACCTGACCGCTCCTCCAGCCAATTGCAGCTCAGCCCTCGAAATTCAAACGTGCTAACGGATGTTTTTTTATGCTTCAGCCAATCAGGCTCTGTGAACTGCCTATAAATACCCTGAAGCGGAACGCCACAGTTTATTGCTTCTGTTGTGGTTTCGAAGATGGCTCGTACTAAGCAGACCGCTCGCAAGTCCACCGGCGGGAAAGCGCCTCGCAAGCAGCTGGCCACCAAGGCGGCGCGGAAGAGCGCTCCAGCCACCGGCGGCGTGAAGAAGCCTCACCGCTACCGCCCCGGCACCGTCGCCCTGAGGGAGATCCGCCGCTACCAGAAGTCGACGGAGCTGCTGATCCGCAAACTGCCCTTCCAGCGGCTGGTGCGCGAGATCGCGCAGGACTTCAAGACCGACCTGCGCTTCCAGAGCTCGGCCGTCATGGCTCTGCAAGAGGCGAGCGAGGCTTACCTGGTGGGGCTCTTCGAGGACACCAACCTGTGCGCCATCCACGCCAAGCGCGTCACCATCATGCCCAAGGACATCCAGCTGGCCCGCCGCATCCGTGGAGAGCGGGCGTAAAAAGTACTCCAGACAACGCCGCTGTTTCAGAAACCCAAAGGCTCTTTTAAGAGCCACCAAATTCTCCACATAAAGTGCTGGTCACGCATACTCTTTATTTACAATTATAGTCCAAATTACATATATATAAACATTCGAGAGACTGAATTGGCAGCAGATTGCCAGTAATTTCGGTCCACTTAAAATTGAAGATTAGAGTCATAATTAAGTATAGGTTGAACTAAATTTGGACACTTTACGTAGCAATATGAATTAACATTTTAACTACATTAGCAGCACTCAATAAAATATATTAAATATGACGATTCCCCAAAAGACAAAATGTATTTTATTGCTGGTTCGGCTTTTTTAGGCTTGTTAGCAAGGCATCCCTGCCTCTGAAAATGAAGAAATGACATTTTCTTTTTAGCCAAATTCCACTTTTTAAAAATATGCAAAAGTAGCCTTTTCAGCAACTAAACATATTCTTAAAAGGCCTCTCATTTGCAAAGTTGCAAGATTAAAACCCAGGAAGGAGAAATGTAACCGATACATTTTGAATTTATTCAACTGTCTAGTTTGATCGTTTTCTGACGTATGTGAATCGTTAGTAAAATACTCCACACTCTCCAATGTATTCATATACCACCTTTTATTTTTCTTTATAATGGGAGTTAGGCCGAGAATTATCGGCTCAAAGTGATCCAGGTTTTGGTAAGTGTTAAAACGTTTTCGTAAATGCTTTTTGCTTTTGCCCGAATTAAACAGCTCTTATTTACCCAGAGATTAAAATGGCGGCCGCGGCCCTTCCCTTCCAAACAGCAGCCCTGCAAGGTAGATTGCTATTGTTTTTAGTGGAAAACAGCACCTTTTAACGTTTTTGTGAGTGGCTCTTAAAAGAGCCTTTGGGGTTTTTGCAAGCAATGAGACTCGCACACGTGAGCAACAACTCACTTCTTCACGGCTTTCTTGGGCTTCGCCACTTTCGCTTTGGGAGTCTTGGGCTTCGCTTTCGGCTTCGCCGCCCTGGCCTTAGCAGGGCTTTTGACCGCTTTTTTAGCTTTAGCTGCCGCTGCTTTGGGCTTCTTGACAGCCTTGGGGGCTCTCTTGACCACCTTCTTGGCGGGTTTCTTCGCCCCGGCAGCCTTTTTCGCCTTCTTGGTGGCACCGGTGGGCTTCCTGGCGCTCTTGGTTCCCGCCGGCTGCTGCTTTTTGCGGGCCGCCTTGTCCTTGGCGTCGGCCTGCTTCTTGTTGAGCTTGAAGGAGCCCGAGGCGCCCGTGCCCTTCGTCTGGAGCAGCGTCCCCTTGGTCACCAGGCTCTTCAGGCCCAACTTGATGCGGCTGTTATTCTTCTCCACATCGTAGCCCGAAGCCGCCAAGGACTTCTTCAGCGCTGCCAAGGAGATGCCGCCACGCTCCTTGGACGCCGCCACTGCCTGCATCAGCAGCTCCGTCACACTGGGGCCGGCCGGCTTCCGCGCCTTCGCAGCGCCCGCCGCTCTCCTCGCCGCCGCTGCTGTCGCCTTCGAAGCTGGAGCCGCCGCCACGGGCGCTGCCGGTGCGACTTCTGCCATCCTTAACCACAATACTTCACTACTCCAACGCCGACCCTTAAATTGGCCGGAGGCGCGGCGGGCGCTGGTATTTATAGGAGAGGAGCTGAGCGCTGATTGGTCCGTTGCCAGCACGGTGCTTTGCTGGTCCAACTCTGTTCTTGATCGTTGCAATTTTTGTGTTTCTGAATCTGCACAAAATAGCCGATTAATAACAATCCCTCGGGTGGATCCCTTCCCTTCCCAGCGGGATCGAGAGGGGAGGATGTCTTGTTTCGGGCTCCCAGCCTCCCTTGGCTGGGGCAGCATAGAAATTGAGGGGAGAAGGTGGGGAGCACATCTTCTCCCGGCTTTTTCTGCCTTGACATGTGTAAACTTGTGGCTTTGTCCGAAGATGCTGAAGGGGTCTCTTAGGAAATCCCCGTGTAAACCCTTGGAAACAGCTCCCTGGCGGGTCTGTATCTTGACCCGCCTGCCAGGCAAGGATCTCGGCTGATGATTTCCCCGCAATCGCTTCTTTAATCCAGCTAAGTAACACATCGAATAGCCTACCGCGGATAAGACGTTCATTTTAGGTGGGGGCTTGAAAATGACAGACGCAAAAAAGTTGGGGAATTGGGTTGTAATTAAGGCCGGGGACAACTGAAGAGTGAAAAAAATTAGGGGGGTGATTTGATTTTTTTTTTTAAGCAGTCTGATTTATATGTATATTTTTTTTCCGGAAACTCAGTAACCTAGATTTAAAATACCTTTAGATATCTCTGTATAATAATCCATACATAATATTACTTCATAGCAGGAAGGGAACAAAAAAAAAGTGTTATGCGCAGCAAAGAAAGGGGAAAAGATATAATTTTGAAAAAGAAACCTAGCTAAACCCGCTTTGCACTGCTCACTAGATTAGGAATAGAATGGAATGGAATTAGAATAGGATATAGAATAGAACAGAATATAGAACAGAAATGAATATAGAACGCAAGGAAATATTGGCGACTGATACAGACATGGGTGGAGCAAATGGTGGGAGAACATATTCAATTTAAGCCAGAACTATTTCTCTTAGGAATAATGGCAGAAAGCTACAGCAAAGGTATAACATATCTAATAATACATGTATTATGGTGGCGAGATTGGTATATGCACAATACTGGACAAATGAAAATATACCACCAGAAAGAGAAATAATAAGGAAAATAATGGCTTGTGCAGAATCTGATAGACTAGAACTGAAAAATAAGGGGAAATCAGAATATTATGATATTTGGAATAAGTTTTATCACTGGTTGCAAAAAAGAAGAGAAAGTTGGAACAAAAATAACTAGGATGAATAGATGTAGAATATAAATACTGTATCAATAATATGAATGTTAATGGTTTGGTAATATTTTTGTATGTATGGCAGAGTAATGCCAAAATGGTTGCATAGTGTTTGATACTTATAGTTGTAAACAATAAAAAAATATTTTAAAAAAGAAATGAATGTAGAACAGAATATAGAATAGAATAAAAAATAGAATAGAATGGAATAGGAATAGAATAGGAATGGAATTAGAATTGAGTTAGAATAGAATATAGAACAATTAGAATAGAATATAGAATAGATTATAGAACAGAAATATAGAATAATAGCAGAGTTGAAAGGGACCTTGGAGGTCATCTAGTCCAATCCCCTGCTCAGGGAGGAAACCCTACACCATTTCAGACAAATGGCTGTCTAATCTCTTCTTAAAAACTTTTAGTTTTGCAGAATTCACAACTTCTGGAGACAAACTTAGTGCCATAGCCACGGAGGGCTTTATACCAGGGGTCACCAACTTTTTGGACTTCAGGGACCACCAAACTTGTAATTTTAAATTCCGCAGACCAGAGACCCTGGGAAAATCCCCACAAAATTCTGCAGGAAAATTCCCCATCCCGTTTTCCTACCGATCGATCATTCTTTATTTGGGATCGCAGGATACCGTCTCCAGTGATTCTGCGAGCAACTTAATCTGCCTGCCTGCTTTGCCTGCTTTTGGGTAAAAGTTGCTCTTTTTTTAAATAAAAAAATTCAATATTTACATACATGGTGTGTTGTGAGTTAATTTCGTGAGTTTGTGTGCTAGCAAATTTTATGAGTTTGCATACAAGTTGACATACAATATTTACATACAAGCCACACCCAGCCAGTCACGTGACCACCAAGCCACGTCCAGTCAGCAAGCCACACCCATAGAACCGGTTGTTAAGGAATTTGAATCCCACCCCTGATCCCATGGTCACATGATCAAACTTCAGACCCTTGGCAACCGACTCATATTTACGACGGTTGCAGTGTCCTGAGCCCCTTTTGCGACCTGGCAAAGTCCACGGGGGAGCCAAATTCATTTAACCACTGTGTTGCTCACTTAATGCCTTCAATGATCCACTTAACAGCTATGACAAAAAGGATTGTAACATCGGTCAAAACTCACTTAACAAATGTCTCGCTTAGCAGCAGAAACTTGTGGTCCTAAGTCGAGGACTACCTGTATTCATTGCCTTCCTAAAATCATTTGCCTTAGAATTTCTCCATCGTTATCCCTTCTTCTAATCCCTCATTCTAGTGAGGTATAAAATTTAAACTTCCTGCTCAATTTTTGTTCACCATTTTAAGGTAGTTTTGGACTCCGTCCCTCCCTCCCAATTTCCCTGTCAAACCCAGTTTTGACAGGCCAATTTTCAGACTCTTGCCATCCTTCGATATAATATCCCAAAAGTGCTTTTTTTTTTTTCCAAGAGTAAACTGGGCTTTCTTGTTTTTTTCTCTTCTCATCCAAGGAGCTTATTCTGCTCTGATAGGATAGTGGATAAATGATAGGATATATAAATCCTTCTGTTCCCGGTCCTCCAGTCAGAGCTGAAGAAGCTTCTTGGACGAGAAGAGAAACGTCTTCAGAGGGGAAAAAAACAGAAGTTTCCTCTTGAAAAAAAAAGACACCTTTTGGGGGGGGAGAGAGAGACAGAGAGAGGAAGCGGAAGAAGAAGGAGGAGGAAGGAAGGAAGGAAGGAAGGAAGGAAGGAAGGAAGGAGAAAAAAAGTCATAAAATGGAGCAAAATTGACTTCAGATCTGACTTGCTCAGCAACCGAAATATCAGGCTCAAATTATGTAAATCGAGGATTTGAGCAGGGGGGTGGACTAGAAGACCTCCAAGGTCCCTTCCAATTCTGTTGCACTGGAAAAGCAGACTAGGATAATAATCGTCTTGAAGCAAATGGAATATTCTTGGATCAAACTGGTAGGATCCAGCTGTCACTTCCCCCCCGCCACTCCCCAAAAATATGCCAGAGAAAGAAAAAAAAATCAAAACTTCATTTATTGGGTGACAGAATCCGTTTCACAGAAATTGCACCACAAGATCCAACCTGGTTCCTGCACATTCGCAAACACACACACACACACACACACACCAACACACACTCCCTCCACAACAGAGAAATGAAGAAAACAAACTTGTGGTTTTATACAAAAATAAAATAAAGAGTTTGATCCACGGAGGAAAATGTAGCAAAACCAGTTTTGCCTCACACACCCTTGTCGCCCACCCCCCATTATCCTGCAAAACATGGTGGCCTGAGGTATTTCTTCTCCCCTTTAACTAGACGGCTGGGGGCGAAAGAGACATTTTCAACCGGTTGCAAAAATGAAGATCCGAGGCTGCCACAGTTCGTCCTCGATTTACAGCCATGAGTTTGGTGCCCATTCAGAGTTGAAAAATTCAACTTACGGCCTGTTTTTCACACTGGCGACCGTCGCAGCATTTCCTGGGGGGGGGGGGGAGTGTCACATGATCCAAACTCAGACACTTGCCAATGGACTCGTATTTATGACGGTCGCAGGGTCCCCAGGTGTGTGTCAATTTTACGAACTTCTGACAGGGGAAGTCCACGAGGAAGCCAGATTCACTTAACAACCAGGTAACTATCAACGGCAGGGATTTACTTAACAACCATGGCAAGAAATGATGTAAAATGGAACCAAGCTCACTTAATAAACGTCTCGCTTAGCAGCAGAGATTTGGGGATCAGTTGTGGTCGTGAGTGGAAGACTATCCATATTTATTTTCCATCTTGATCCAAAAATGAGAATTGGGGTGGGGGGAGGCATGGTGGCTTATGAGAGAAGGAGAAAGAGACAGACAGACAGACAGACAGACAGACAGACAGACAGACAGACAGAGACAGAGAAAGGAGAGAGACAGAGAGAGAGAAGGAGAGAAAGAGAGACAGAGAGACAGAGAGAGAGGTGTGAGGGACAGACAGACAGAGGAGAGAGAGAGAGAGGAGAGACAGGAGAGGAGACACAGAGAAAGAGAGGAAAGAGACAGAAAGAGAAAGGGAGGAGAGACAGAAAGGAGAGATAGAGAGAGG